ATGAGACGCCACTTGGAGGACCTGGATAATCGGGGGAGGAGGTCCAACATTAGAGTTCGGAGGGTGTTAGAGACCTACATGCCGGAGGCAATCCCCACCGTCCTCATGACCATTTTTAATGACCTGCTGGACCGACCCGGCCGAATCACCCATAGACCTGGTGAGAGCACACAGAGCCTTGAAACCCCGGGCCCCGCAGGAAGAAACACCCCGAGACATCATATGCTGCCTCCAGAGCTTCCCACTGAAAGCAGAGATCCTGCTAAAGGCCAGACAAAGAGGTTCAGTCTTCCTGGATGGTAGGGAGCGCCGAGCACTACGTCCTTTACTGGACTGCCTCAGGGATCGCAACATCCTCTACAGATGGCGTTTTCCCTTCAGCCTGACGGCCACCCACAGAGGAAACACAGCTATCCTACGTCTACCAGAAGACATCACTGAATTATGCGCCAGATTGGAATTGCCTGAAGTCACCATCCAGGATTGGTACTCGGATCTGTACTCTTCCCCTGCCCACCCGAGGCCTTCGCTTGTTCTGGCGACCACAGAACCCGCTCGGGGACGCAAAGAGCAATCCCACCCCGGCGCTTCCAACCCACGTAGGCAGAAGAAGCAGAAAGCCCTTCCTACTGCGAGAGCCCCGGCTGGGGATTCCAGCAGCAATGACTCCTTCCCCAGAAGCCCTTCATACCTGCGCCAATGAGCTAAATATTGACATTGCTGCTCCCACATTTTCCACACCACACCCGCCCCTATGTATCCCGTACTGTTGGGACTGGCACTGTTCCAGCTGCATATATAACCTTTCCCGCAAAGGACAGACCTAACGGCTTAGAGTTTATCTGAAGCCCCCACACCCCACCGCAGGTCTTCCTAACAGTAGAGTTGCCACACTCACTGCCACGGTGTCTTAACCATGCCTGCCTTCAATATGCCAAGAGTTTATTTTCCATGTTACTCAGCGGAGGTATTATGACTGTGCTCTGGAGGCATGACCATGGCTACCTGCCGGGGCTCTGTGGGTCTGCGGTCCACTTTGGGCCGTCGACCACCAGGGCCTCCTCCTCACTTGCCCAATACGAACAGCCCCACACACAATCGTGTACTTATGGTATGTGTAGCAATTCATGTCTGTTGTAGATCCCTCAATGCCTCCCTTGGTGGGTCTCGGGTATAGCCTGGGCCCCACCCTGGTTATTGGACAGTTTCTACCCCATTTACCGCTAGGAAATTTATCCATTGTCTCATCTGATTGGTAGGATTTCCTTCCCCACCCTCGCTCAATCCACTCCCCCAAGAGTGACGCCTTGCACCTGGCACCTTCAGCCAGGCGCAACGGACGCTTCACCTACTATACCCCAGCACATCTAGGTTAAGTTGTGACCTTACCACTGGTCGCGGACGGTCTCCCACTGTTAGGCAGACGACCCGCCTGAGGGGTAGTGTATATATTGGTTGGTGTTTCACCGAGTGTTTCCTTTTGTGTTTTGTATTGTATTATGTAAAAAAATGTTGTTGTGCGTATTACCAGGGCTTGCCTGACCTTGTCCACAGTGTGTACCTTTGAGGTACACACTGAACTGAAAGATGATGGAGGCCGCTACCTCATTCTGACGGGCACCCTCTCGGGGATCCCGATGACCATTGCATGTGTTTACCTACCTAACCGACAACATGCTCGGTTTTTCGAAACATTTATGGCCAAATAGGCAGAGGTATCGAGGGGCATGGTGGTCCTAGGGGGCGATTTTAATGTAGCACTAAACCCCTTGATAGACACGTCAGACAAACGGCCCTCCCTACCGTACCGGACGCTTAAATTCTTGAAGTCTAAAACTTCAAGCCCTTAACCTCTTTGACACGTGGCGCACCGTGCACCCGGACGGTAGGGATTTCACTTACTACTCCTCTCTGCACTCCAAATACTCCCGCATTAACTACATCTTCATCACACAACGTGACTTGCCAAAGGTGACACGATCACAAATAGGTAACATTACCACATCTGACCATGCACCGGTCCTCACTACCCTCAACCTGCACCCCCCGCATCCCCGCCAATCCGTGTGGAGACTGAACTCTTCCCTTTTGGCGGATCAAAGTGTCATTGCCACCATTAAGGCAGACTTGCGCACCTATTTTCAGCTGAACGTTGGCAGTGTCTCCTCTCCGATGTCGGTATGGGAAGCTCACAAATGCGTTGTGAGGGGCCTTCTCATATCGATAGCGGCCCAATGGAAGAGGGAAAGGCTAGAGCGTCTGCGGCTGCTGTGCGCCCGCGTCTCTAGGCTGGAATCCCACCACAAAGAGGCTTATGTCGAGCTTCGAGGCGAGGAAAGAACTGTCTGATCTGCTGGAAACTAAAATCCGCAGAGCATTTACTCTTAGAAATGGTATATACTATGAGGGAGGCAATAAGTGCGGGAGGAAAATCGATATGCATCTGGGCCCACAAAAGCTTAGTGAGTAGTAGGACCCAAGAAACCAACTTTAAAATCCTGTCCCGCTGGTACAGGACCCCGGTGCTTCTCCACAAAATTGACCCTACAGTACCAGAGACCTGTTGGAGATGCACTTTGGAAAAGGGCACGCTCCTACACATTTTTTGGGAGTGCACCCTTCTCCGACCTTTGTGGAAACGGGTCCACGAACTCATCGGACACATAACAGGGGAACAATTTACATTTCACCCCGGGGTGTACTTGCTCCACTTCCGAGAGGAAGGTGTTGAGGGACCTCAAAAAACTCTCTCTCAGCATTTGATCAATGCAGCTAGAGCACTGATACCCAGACTTTGGAGAGAGGCGAGGCCCCCATCCCTTACCAAATGGATTACACAGGTAAACTACATAGCTGAAATGGAGGAACTTCTTTTCACCAAACAAGATAAACTTACCAAATTCTCCAGACTCTGGGCGCCTTGGACCCACTTCTGCCAGGGAAAGACATACGAGGAACTCATGCAGACACCCACGTAGAAGACTGACACACACGCTGATGACATACTACATTTTAGTGATGCCCCTTTGAAGGTGGGGGATAACACGCTCCACGGGTGGGTGCTCCGGGTGGAGCACTTCAGGATCTTCCTCCAAGACCCTCCATATCCCCGCTTGCCCTGGAACACTTGGTGGATTCACCACTGGGGACTCCTCCTTCTGGTTTTTCGCCTCCACTTTCTCTATACTTCTCTGTGACCTTTTTCTCGTAATGTTTAAGTTGCACCAATCCTTGTGGTTACTTATCATAGACCAAGAGAGTTACCATAGGCCGAGGTCATGGACCAGCTGGTCGCAGGCTAGAGTCCTGAAAGGCCGCAAATCTTTCCAAGCCGACCTATCCTCTCTAATGTCCTATGTGCTATGCCAGATGTTATTTTGGTGTACCAAATGTTATCGGATTACGCAGGAATTGCCGAATGTGAGAACTTTCCTGCAATGTTTAGTGGGTTAACCCAACAGCCTCACAGTTAGGAGGTTGCCCACTTGAAGAAGTAAGGTGATATGTTTTATGTGATATGTTTGATCACATTGTTTGTAATTTCTTTGTTTGATTTGCTCAATAAAAAAAGGACCATTTTAAAAGGAAACCCCCCCCCAAAAAAAAACAAATAAGGGACAGTTTTGTTAATAGTTCTTGAATGCATTTTTAAGATTTAACTCCTGAGTTTACTAGCACTTTAAAGCCGCTATTTGGGATTAGCAGGGAAGCCGTCTAAATGCTTCCTCGTCACCAGGTGACGAGGCAGCATGAAGCCGTCTTTCTGGCCAATCAGGAAGCCGGGGGGGCAGGTAATGACTCGCCCTCCAACTTCCTCATTGGCCATCTTCCCTACAAATCAGGAAGCTGGGCGGCGTGTCATTACACGCTGCACGGCTTCCTGATTGGCCGGGAAGCCACTTGGTGACGAGGGAGCATGGATTAGCCAGGAAGCCGGGCAGCATGTAATGACTTGCTGCCCAGCTTCCTGATAGCGGAAGTTCGGTTATCGGGCTAGGCATCGGAGCATTTGGGCGTGTACGAGTACTCGCCCAAATACTCGGTATCGGTGCATCCCTAACAAATTCCCTACACTAAGGGGCATGTTTATAAAGCAGTGAATGTGACATTTACCAAAAAATTACTGTGGGCAAATCCATCAATGAAATTTAAAATACATGAACCAGGACCTTTCACTTGCAGTGAATGTTTAGTGAATACCATATTTACTGCTTTATAAACATGCCCTATAACTGACTCTAATGATGTTATCATGAGATAACAGCATGCAGTAACAAATGTGTGCAATCACAAGCTAATGCAAATAATAAAAAAAATGCAAAGGATAAACTTTTTGTTCATATTCCCAAAACAGTTCAGTAGTAAAGTAAGGTAAGACGGAGTATAGGGACTTTCCTGGTATGATATCAAATGTTCTCAAACAACATTTATATCACTAGATATAGTGGAGATATAGATGTAGCTGAGCAGCATAGGGAACACGTATTTATTTCCTCTTCTCCTTCGCCTTATCTAGTGCCTATAATGCAGTATTACATTACATTCAACCTGAAAAGAAAATATGCCAAGAATGTTTGTTTTTGCCTCTATTCACACAGAGATCCACAGGGCAAAGGGGTCTGAAAATCCCTTATAAATAGATCCCTATGTGTTTATAATAAAACTGTTATTTGCGAACTTTTGCTATCATTCCAGGCAAATCCCTATACATTGTCTTGCCTTAATTTACAAGAAAAATTGAATTCAAACTGAATGCGCTTATCAAAATAACAAGTAGCATGCAAGGAAGGAAAGAAAGAGCAGTGCTTGTCAAGTACTGACTTCTGCTGCTTCAACAGATTCATCATTTAGCCAAGCAACACTGTTTACAGGAGAGAGATTGAGAATAATTTTCTTTGAGATGTTACATACACCTAAGCAAAACAAAATATAAACGCCATAAATAAAATCTACCTGAAGACTGAAAACATAGGTGGAGACACTGACGTTTCCAAACTTACCCAACACACATTCCCAGCAGACTCTTTTCTAGACCTGTGGATACAGAGAAGACATTTCATTAATATATAAAGAGTATACTTTCTACATATTTTTCAGAATACCAACACATATACGTAAAATCAATATGGATTCTCCAAACTTTATCTCTGCACCGCCAATATGTAAAAAGCAATCGAGCTTTTATCTGAATGATCAAGTGTTGACAAACTAACCCTGCTAACTGCTGATGTGTTCCAGCTATTCTCTTTGCTTTCTGAAAGACTGGATCTGCTGATCACCTGTTCACACATGAAGATTAATAAGATATGATGCTTACAAACCAGCACCTGGTCATAGGCGAATGGTAATGTGTTCATTCTGATTTTATTGGACATGGGTCTTTTTTTTTACTTAACTATGTAACTTCTCATAGACTGCTTCCTGCATTGTTCAATATTAACCTCTTGCCGTCCGCCCGTAGTAAAAAAACGGACGGACGGCACTGCAGCATCTGCGGGTTGCCGTCTCCAGACGGCAATTTTTTTCTGCTCGCGCGCGCCCCCTAGCGGGCACGCACGGGCAGAAAAGACCCGCTAAATGCACACACCCATTACCGGGTGTTTCACATATAGGCGATCGGCGGGTCCATAGCCCGCCGATTGCCTATATGTGCTCGTTCGCGGCACCCCCCCTCCCCCCCCGCGCCCGGTCGGCGCTTCCGTTTTTTTT